ATGGCTGCAGTGAGCACCTTCGTACACAACGCTGAAAATTCTTTACATACTTTGCAGTTTAGCTGTGTTACCTGGGCCTTGTCCGAGAAGTACAGTTCTTTAGTCCATCAATCTATACAATCAACCCGACGACAAACCGTATGAGGGGCCTGTGGCTGTCGCCCCTTGCCATAAAGCCTCTGTGGCACCCTTGTGCACCGTGCAAGTGAGACATCTTCGTGCGAAGGAGGCCATCCCGATCCATGTAAAGCGGGGCTCTTCGTCTAAGAGAACCATGAGAACCCAACAACTAACATTTCTCATCGGCTTGAAAAAGTTGGGGGGGGGTTGTGGGGCAGTTAAAAAGGCATGACTCTTGGGTTTCTGGTTGAGGGCATCCAATTATTCTCTTTCGTTACCACCCAACATGAGAGACTGCGCTTTCGTCGGTCAAGGAAGCGTGGGGCCTATTGGAAGGCTCTCCGTCAGAGACCCCAACACTAAGCAGGTAGGTATACGGATTACGCTATTATGCCGCCCGCTGTGCAGATGCAGATGTGATCTCCTTTGGCTCAAGTAGGACCTACGCTTTGATTCCCAGGCGCCAGGGATGAATCCGCACTGAAGACTGCAAGGGACAGAGCGTAGGTCTGCACTGGCCTTGGCATGTCCGTTCGTGCGGGTTAGGGCGTACAGCATTGTCTTATGCCAGGCTGTGCAAAATGGGTCCAGCCTATCCAAAATGCTTCATGCATTGTTCATAACCATCAGTGTGCCGAATGTCCAGTACATACGCATGTTCAACTCGCATTGCAACTGTTCCGCCCCCTCACCCGACTCGAAACCCTAAACCCTGAACACTCCAGATCCAACCTGCCCTAGGAACCAAGATCAAGAAAGACAAGTGCCATGAAAATAGCACAGAGAACCCCAGCCAAGTGCAGCTTCAGCGCAATGCACGGACGCACTGCCCTGTCAGGACCTGAACAGGCTTGAGATGCGTTCTCTTCTTGGAAGGGAGGTATTCCCTACAAGTAGCTGTACGTACAACTTGTTTGGTGATCCTGGGGTTCGGGAGTTCTAGGCAGAATCACCTGGCGCTAAAAAGTTGCTTGTACCGCTAGAGCAGGACCTACTGGTCGTGTTAAATAGTCACAGCATGCGTCCTGAAAGTGGCACCGTGCATCTGCGTAAAACTTAGTTTGATGCATCGAATTCCTGCAGCTGCGCAGCATTCCAAATCTTGGCATTTCCGGCCGATGTGGCTGTGAGCACGAAGTAGCCATCGGGAGAAAAAACAGCAGATCGCACCACGTCCTGAGCATTGCCATCTCCATGGCATGCCATAGCTTATACAGAACCTGTGGACCTGCACCGCTTTCAAGCCCAACCTCATGCGCGCCAAATGGCACGCATGTCGCGCGGTTAGGGATCTAGAATGAGAAGCTTTTGAGAGGCGAGTCAATCAACGACCATGGGTCATGGCGTTGAGGGAGTTTACGAGCGGCTGAGTGCGATAAGGCTTTGGTAGGGGTGCGCTGTACAACAACGACTTCAAACTTCAGAACTAGTTGGCTGGAATGTTACCCTGGATCTGCAGCTCGCCAAGTCACTCCCTGGCCTTCCAGTGTGTGTACCTCAGCTGCAGTTGAGGCAGACTGACTGCCACCCTATGCTTAGGTGGCGAACTGGGAACGTCTGGTATGGGGTCCCACATTTACAGCCCCTCCACAAATTTCCAGATTCATGAGGTTTTGGATAAAGAACGCTGTGAAAGCATCAGAGTCATTGCAGATTTAGCATGGGTAGGCCGGGTAGGCTTTCTCAGACACGGCAGGATGCATCCTGCAAAAGGGAAACGGTTATGTAGGGAAAGATGGAATCTCGCCAGTTATTAGGAGGCTCCTCTTTCTTTTCCGGAGCTATGCACCAACAATTGCTTGGATCTCTGTTCGACAACTCCTTGTGCTGGCTTGCTAGCTTTTTTTTGACTAGGGGTCAGCTGTGAAGCGGAAAGCTGACTGATATGATGGCTAAAAGGTGAAAGATGTCTGCGATTTCTCAAGGAGTGGGCCCGTGCCAGCTGCGGTCTGGATGCACAGTTGCCTCGATGCGTGTGCCTCAGTTGGGCACTAAGGGACTCAGAAATGAGACTTCTCGTCCAAAACCCAAAGCTTGGATTGAAACATCCCCGTCCGGCTTTAATCTTCGCGTTCCCTGCGTTCTCTCCAGCATGCACGCATAGCGGCAGGTGCAGAAAGCATTCACACTGGGGATTTGTGGTTGACAGTTGTGGTGCCGTGCCTTCCGTAATCGAATGACCTCCTGCAGTTGTCAGCTCCATTGCGGCAAAGGCTCCATATTCGCGCAGTACCGTCCTGGGTTGTTGGTTCTTAAAGCCTTCAGAGAATTACTTGCCGACTAATATTACATAATTGGAACAACGATGGCACAAACAAAGCTCCCAAAACATCACCTGGCATCGTCCGACGCCGTGGCCACAAAGGATGCGCGGTGCACCACGAGGTTGAGGATGAGCTCCTCCTGCCAACTAGGGGCTGGGTCACAAAACGCATGGCTTCCTTCGACATGGATGTCCGAAAGGAATCTTTGCAGCGGACTGATGCTGCTCCAGCAGATCTGCAACATAAACCTGCAGCCCGTATCAAAGCTAACAGAACTGCAAGGCCTGTGCGTGTTGTAGTTAGGCTTCAGACTTGACTTGTTGACTGGTCGCTAAAAGTTGAAAGGAAGGCACGAAAATAGTGACGAGCCAGTATCTAAGCGGACATCTCATTTGTCTTCTGTGGTCATCTGTAGCAAGTGAATCTGGTGGGATCTGACTGGGAAGGTGCTTAGCGCCTCTTCACCGAGCTGTGACAGCTTCATTGTTGGCCAAAGGAGGTCATGACCTTCGAGGCGCCAGCTTGTTTTTGCATGGGAGTGGGTGTGTCTAAATGGGAGGGACATGAAGGCATGCAAGGAGGCACCTGCGCGGGGGTATGCTGAAGATCAAGTGCTTTCTGATTGCTTGATTTACCTGCCGCTTGCCTTTGAATCCTTTGTGGCTAGCCAACAAGATTTAGGCAGTCAGGAATTAGGACGCTCAACCTCAACCTCCTCCGCCTTATACATATCTCCCACATGCTAAACCTGCTGGTGGCAAGAAGTTGTTCGACTCACCGCTGCGTGCCACAGAAACTACTGAGATGTACTGAGCTGAGGCAAGATCGGCGTGCCTACACAAGCTGAACCGACCCTGTTCTGCGTACTAGATCTGCAGCAGCCTCGCAAGAGCTGCTGGCGCGTACCAGGGATGCCGGTGGCCTGAAAGTAGGCACAACTTGACAAGGGGCCACTTCATGACAAACTACAGTAACTGCAGTTGTCCATTTCAGATCAGGGATCAAGCTTCAAGGATGAATTTCAATTACCTGCACAACGCCACTTGGGATGTTTCATTCCAAACTGCCGCACAAAGCCTATCGCTTGATAACATGGCTTCTTTGGCTTTTAAACGCGAGAATTTCGAATTGTGCGATCACAAAGTATTCACTCTGGGAGTCTGGGACATCGCAAGAGCCGTAGGCCTTTCAAGTAGCTAGGCCAAAATTGTTCATGCGTGCATGCCAATTTTTCACATTGGAGCTTTGGGGCCGCATATGGTCCACTCGTTGCTACTGGAACACTCGTTTGAAATTGGAAATGTGATATCTTTCGTAGATCTGAAATACGGCTATGTTTCCAGGATGCATGCCAGCTGACCGCTACTGTCCCACACTGGACCTGACAAGACTAGGACGAAGCGAGGTTATTGAAAATCTTGTTCTGAATCTCCAGGCTGCTCTCGTAGCAGTCTTTTCAACCATGGCCCGAATGCTGCATTCTGCCAAACGCAAGGCTATGGACACTTGCAGGGTCTCAAACTCTGCGGGTCATGTGGGTCTGGAAAATTGACTTTATGCAGTGCTTCCTCATAAGCTTCATGCATTTGTAGGCCCAAATCGGAGGTCTCCATACTGTAGGAAACCGCGAAGAAGTCAAGAGGAGTCTTGCATAATTGCACATACCCAAATCCAGATTGTCAACCTTGCGCCCGAAACCTGAGCCCGAATCCAGATTGAAGTGGGCATTCTCACAGTGAGCCATGGAGACAATGCAGAGCGTAAGCACAGGTGAAGTACTACCCGGGCCGAAGCCAGGCCTTTGTCACGGCGCGGTGGATAGCTTCCACCAGAGCTTCTCGATCCTGAACTGAGAAAATATGGATCCACGCATCACTTGTGGCACCTCTTGGCTGTAAGTTACACGGGTTGCCAGGAACAGATACCTCTTCTAACGCCCCAAACCCTAACCTTGTGCGGATTTCATGGGGAACCCTGAACTCTGAACCTAAGCCAAGGCGCGAGCTCCACCTGCACAACTTGCGCGCCGCTGACATAGGACACGGCCACACGCATGGCGGGCCAAGCTCTTTGCCATGTGCGGTGCACTGACGCTACCTCTTACAGTAGTCAAAACGCCTAAAGTGCGGAATCTGGGCTCTGCAAACGTCCTCCCAACCCCACCTGGCTGCACGTCGTGAACCTCTGACGCTGCTAGGTCTTTATTTCTTTGGAATTGCGCCAGACCATGGCCTTCAAATGATACATCTCATGCCAGAGCAAAACGCGGCATCATCAAATGCACAAGCTGCTTGCGGGCCCTCCTGTACAAATTTCTTGCAAGACCTGTGCTAATTACACATGACCGTGACCTCCTTCTAGTTCTGATGCGTATGTATTGAACAGTGACGTGGCCTCTGCTTGGACCTTCGCTGGCATGCTGCATGATGCTGCCAACGCGTGGAGCTCACGAGCATCTTGCCCTAGAACCTGTGCTGGAACCCCTGCTGCCCCACAATGCCCCACACCCGAATGATTCGTGTGCACTACGGTGGTACCTCAGTCCTGGGCAAAGCGGGAACACGAAAGCCGAATACAAAGTTCCAAGCTCCAAACCTGGAATTCGGTGCTTCTGTCCTACACCATAGCGCTCCATAGGAGTACAGCAGCCAAGTCCCATGGACCTCAGATCAAGTTGTAGAACGCTGCACCAAAGTTACAGTTACAACAAGCGAAACAAAGCAGGGGCAGATGACTCTTCCTTGAGCCGATCCGAAGCACCAATTACCAGGTTTCCATCGGGCATGACAACAGCATTTCTGCAAAGGACGTCTTTGTCTACACCTTGAAACACAGTCTCTAGGGCCGCAGCAGCCGCGTGGTGTAGCTCATTGTCGGTGAGATCTCAGCGCGCAGCAAAAATGACACCAGCATACTGGTCTGAAGCCGATTTCGGCAAATGATTTGTCGCCAAGGTCCCGTGCTCTACACTAACTCTCACTGAACGTCTTGCATCCGGCTTTGGAAAATGATGGCAAACGTACCTGAGATGCCTCGTGCTATCTATGATAAACTGCACATTCGGACTCCAAAGTTGCCCAAGCATGAATTCTCAAATCTCCAACCTGGAATCCAGAACTCTCTAATCTAGAATTCTACAAAACACGGCGCGCTCTCAAAGCCTCTGTGACTTGGTGTACTTCTTTGGCTTCCGGCCCGCTCCCGTGGGAAGTCTGCAGTCACAGGACGCCTTTGTTGTTTTCAGGTCTCCGCGGGAAGAATAGGAAAAGTTGGGCAAGTTCCGGGATTATGGCGGCAAAAGCGATCTATCATCAGATTACGTTGAAATCCAAAACAGATTGGGATGCATCGCAGGTCCATACACATATCACTTGCTTTTGCTTGACGCTTTTCTTGCTCACTGCGCCAGTGAGCTGATGTCAAAGCAAACTGCCGTCTCTACGGCTAAGGCCAGGGACTGGTGTGGATTGCGATTTCCCCACCAACGGTCTGCTCAAGCTAGAGGGGCCAATGAGCTGGGGAAAGGCGTGCCGGAGACATGGTATTAGTGCAACCAACCTGTCCGGAAATCTTGAACATATGATAGGGACGTTGATGGAGAGTCTAAAGTAAAGGCTCCCATGACCTTGCGAAGAAAAGCCCACATGCATAATGCCGGGAAAGATTTAGGGATCAGCCTGTCCTGCAAAGATTTTCTGACTGCTGAAATCCTGAAGGTTGCGGATGAATTTAAAGATTTGGGAGATTTTTCAGTATCATTCTCCATAATTTCAAACAGAGGGAACTATGTTCTCGGATTTGTTCTTTCGACAGGCGTGTAAGGATGACGTCCAGCAAACATGGGGTGGCGTACGAAAGGAATCTTCTTCTCTCCACAAATTGTCATGACTGCGGCTTTGACACACAGAGACGGCAGAGATCATGCAGGTTTTAATGCCCATGGCCCGAAATCCTACCTACCTTGAATTGGTTGCACTTGCTGCAGTTAATGCAACTAGGGCTGTGCTCCCGCGAGTCCTAATTACATGGGCACGAAAGCAAATTGTCCCGCCGATGTGAGGTGGGCCTTGTCAGAAGGATCGCCGAAACAATTGATAATCTGGCGAACCCGCCGTCAAAACTAACCCCGGCCCGCAGAACCACTGGAATTCACCTTGACAAGGACTCATACATGTCAGAAGCCGCCGTATCTGGCTGGTAGTTGAGCTCGTTCTTGGCACCAGGCATCTTGAAAGTTGCCATTCCAGACCTGATCATATTTATTCAATCAAACCTTCCCAAGTTATGGGTGCCATACAATCTGGATCTTACGATCTTACCTGGTTTAGGGGTATACTGGCCCCACCTTGTTACAAATTTCTCTCGACGCGCATCTGCCTACGTGCGGAGTGCTGTGGCACATGCATGATGCACCTACACACTTACAGCGCTCGCACTGTTGCCGTTCTGATTGCACAGCACGCCGCTTCGCCAGAACGAGCCCAAGACTTAGTCTCAAGGTTTTGCGCAGGCTGAATACGGGTGTAAATTCTGGAGCGGAACGCCACTGGCCAGGGGTTTGGCATCACGAGAGTCTGATCCACTGGGAAACAATGAGAGTGTATTCCATTGCGAAAGAGTCGCTCCTCGTGTAGCAGCAGCCAAACGTTACCAATCGAGAGACTTTGCACGCACAAAGGCTTAAGGAGATGATCGTTTTGTCGAAGCTAACGTGTTTGTCAAGGCAGCAAAAACTCTGATTGTGCGACAGGCACATTCATTTCAAGCTTCTTCACGTCGCAAAAATTTGGCTACGCTCTTACGCAGCCAGAGCATACCGAATAATGCGTAAATACAATTATCACCCCTTTAGAGTCACATCGAAGCAAAAGCTAAGAAGCTGCCAGCTCCTATCCTGTAACTTACTGGTGGTTGTAGTAGGGAATAAGGTAATATAACCCCAATACAATCCCTAAATCATACAGTATGTTCCCTTACTCACTATATTACCCCCAGTAAGCTAAAGGGAGGCCAAGAAGGGATTGCAATTTGGGTATGCGCCGACACAGAATCCGGATCCCGCAGGTAACAATAGGGAACTCCACCACTCCAAACACCAAACTCAGTAGCTCCCTGCTGGGTAAGTAAGGAAAAAAGGAATATAGTGGTATAACATAGGGAATGTAGGGAACAAGGGAATATATTATGTAGGGATTATACTTGCTTCTTCCCTACGAACCACCAGTAAGCAGTAGTGGGCCATCCAATTCTGAGTCGCTGGCGGCGACGGTACCTGAGGAGTTTTGGGGGCCAATGGCTGATGATACAAATTTGGATTCTTCTGCGCCCAGACAGCATCGTGTCAGGACTCTGATCAAAGGTCAGAGTTGCGGGAAAACGAGGGGGGCAAGCCTCGAGGCCCATCCGTTCCGTGCTCCTATGTTCCCCATGGCTTCCTGGCCTAGGCAATTATGACCAAACATCCTGAGAAGGCTGGCAGTATTGTTTTATTGGAGCAGTATTTCCTGCCACATGGCCCTCGAATATGCAGGACTAAAATGCACCAACTTGAGTTAAAGTCCCTCAATTTGCCCGGAACTATCCGTTTGCCCCAGTCTTCGAATTCAAGAAGCTCGAGAAGAAATCCAGGGTACCCCTTTGCCAGCTTTCGGGACACCCATGCCTGCATTGAAACTATGAAATCGAGGGTGCTGGCGTTCCAGTAAAGCTTTTTCTTTACCAGCGTCAGCACTGTAGCTAGCCTGCTCAGAAAAATAGCCCAACACCTGCGGAAACACCATGGAATACAAGCGCTTTGACAACCTTTGCCAGTAGCCTGCCAGCTTGCTCAAACGAATGTACGCCATGGGAGGCCCTTGGGCTGCTGCAGACACCATCCGCCCAGCGCTCCGAAGTGTGCGGAACCTCTCAAGCGCATGCAGATGCGTGCAGTGCTGAAGCAGTGGACAGGCAGAGCCCGACAAGGTTACGGATAGTTTCGACTACCAAGAGCATTTGTGCGCTTGTGCGAATTGCATGTGGGGGCTTTCTTGAACGGAAACATTTCATCAAGAACAAGAAGGGCCTGCCAATCATGGCCTCAACCAAGCCTAGAGCAAACCTGCCGCTCAAAGTGACCCTGAACTGTTGCTATTTTGCATCTATCATTGCTAGGCATCAGTATACTATTTGGACCGTTCTTTTCTATTCTGGACGCTCTTTGCCCATCTGCTTGTGCATTGTTGAGGCTTTCGCTGGTTCAGGTCAAAGAACTCGCGTCCCTGCTACCGCTGCTTGTTTTGCTACTAAAGTTCATCGCAAGTTCACACCTTTGTGCGGATTGCCAGGTGATGTTTGTTGTACCATGATGAGTATCACGCCCCATGTGCATCTCATATTATATCAGTCTTGAGAAGTTGGATTTCAGGATGGGTCAGTCTGGATGGATGGCTCCTGCAGGCCGCCTCGAGGCAGCATGGAGGATTGTACGCGGTGTGCGTGAATGCAGATATACTATGTCAGATATCACAAGGTAATCCCATGGGAACATGTGTGAGGCCGGTGCGCTGGTGATGCTAAGAGGCTTGCAGGCTCCTGCAGCAGAACAGGGCTTCCAGGCTGATGCATATGCAGAGGACAAAGCCTTCCAGAACCGCCAGACAAGAGGGTATCTAAAGAGTGAACGTCATCTTGCTGTGCGCGCAAAGATGTCAGCGTGCTTGCAATGCATGGACAAGAAACACAGATGTCAACGCAAACGAGACTGTGTGCAGCCGTACAGCCTAGGGCGAGGCAAGCAGCAACTGCTATCATCTACTACTAACATTCCATGCCTCAAACCTTAAAGACCCTCTTAGCTTGTGATGCTCCGGGAACTCGAAGTCCGCCGGCGCGGTGTCAACTGCCAGGGACGCTGGCCTTGTCAAGGGCATTGGGTGTAGGGTTCGACGATCAGATGATGACCCTCAACCCCGAAGCTTAAAGCACTGCACATGGCTCCCAACTAAAGCGTGTACTGTCCCATTCCGGCAAAACCAGGGACAGGTGCAGCTTCCACCACCACCACCACCGCCGCCGCCGCCGCCGCCGCCGCCATCACCACCGCTGCCACCTTCACCTTCACCGCCACGGCTATCCCCACCACCATCACCGGCGCCGCCGCCACCACCGCCACTGCGACCCTGGCCTGCATTCCTCTACTATTAAGCGAGAGCCTTCCAGAACCTGTCACCACCAATTACCAAACAAAATGTCGGCAAAACGAAATCCAAAAATGTTTTGCCATGGAAGGTCAAGAACGCACGCCACCAGCATTCGAAATCAAAGCTGAGCACAACTTAGAAACTGCCTTTCCCCAACCGTGCTACTGGATTAGCCCCTGGGGGATTCTTAGCAGAAACCATGCGCGAATCAACGTTGGATGATGTTCGGCACTTCTAGTCCTCGTGCTAATGGTTGCTTTTGTCATGCAGGTCCTCAAGCCCCTGGGCTTGCTGGAAGCCATAATGGTGAATCATGGTGACGGGTGCTGCTTCTGCTTTGATGAGTACAAAGTACGAACAATAATGATAGGTCATAGGCTTTGCCATCGTAATTGGTCTTTGTAGTGATGGTCCTCCTCCTCCTTCTGCTCCTCCTCGCCTTGCTGCTGTTGCTCCATCTGCTCTTGCTTCCTCTGGTGCATGCGCAGCAGCCGCGGTAAAGTGCTCCGGCCTGGTCAAGATGCTTCCGGCGCTTGCAGTCCGTTCCAGGGTAGCTGTCTGCAGCCGCTCCCTGCGAAAAGCTTTAACATCTCATGTCGAGTCACCATCGCCATCAGTACTGTGCAACAGGCGTATGCGGTTTGTTGCTCTTGTGACTATCACGCCCGACCAGTGTCCACGGCTGGTCAACACACCTGTCCTCAGAACGGCCTAAATTCCAAAACGCACATACTCCAACCAAAACGCCATTGACCGGGCCTAAACACTCTCTCAGCAAGCCGCTGTTGTCCATCCCAGAGGAATGGCAGCTGCTCTTTACTGGGCTTGCTTCCGAAAATCAATCCTTGCTGTACATGTAGGGGTTAAGGGTTACAATGGGTTACATATGAGGGCATTGAAGAGGTCCCTCCTCAAATGCATTCTCAGCACTGTCGATCCACTTCTTTTTCTCGGTCTCTTCCGCCGTCCCCAGTGACAAGCGGTACGCTACTTCATCTCCCGCAATTTGCAGGCTTGATTAGCCTGAACGCACCTCTTCCATGTTGGGAAAGCTTGACTGAGACATCCCACCATAAGCCCTCACGCTCAGTTCAGGGCCCAGCACCACGCTGCATCGCCCAAACTTAACAGTGAAACGGAGGCTTTTGGGTGGGGACCTGACCCCTGGTCGCACTTCAGAATGACAAGGCGCCGCAATTCCAATATCTTAAAGGTTTTAGCACCAACCTGCAAAGCTCTGGCCCTCCAAATTGGTCCTTCCCGGAATTAAACTGATCCCTCAGTGGAAGAAAGCCCTCATAAAACAGGCAACATACTACCCTAAATCCAGCATCAGAGATATTCCTCCGACAGCCTGGGCCCGAACACGAAGAATTTTCCATTCTTTAGTAACCTGAAGGGGGGTGCATGACATTGTTATCTGTTATCGGGTCCTCTTTGGGCGTTGGGGTTCCCAAGCTGATCCTAGTTGCCTTAGATCCTAAGGTCCTAAACCTTAAAACCAAACTTCTCCTGCCGCCTCAGGGCTTGTATCTCTGCCTTGCGCTCGCCGCGCACTTGCTGCTGAAAGATCTGGCGAGTCAAGGGTTACCGGCTTGTACCTCTAGGGTTGTACCCATGGGTTTTGGGATCCTTTTAAGGGAGCCTAGGGGACTATATTATAAGGGCTATATTATGGCCATATTGGGGAAACCCTTTAGGGGTACGACTCTAGGGATACAACCCTGAAACCCTTGAGCGAAGTGAAGCTGTAGGGATCGATTGGCCTACCACGATTCCGAATCCCCTCACTTTGCTTGTGAATACTTCTCATAGCACGATCGAATCAATTACCTTTGTTGCCTTTTTCTCAAGGTCAAGGCTCCTTTCTTACCACATAAGAAGGGCAACTATTCCGGGAACACCAAACAGGGGCTCGTGATTATCGGAAGAACATTCACATCTTACAGAATTCATAGACTTTGCAGCTTTTTCTGTGCGGTTCATTGCAGAATCTCACTAGGGTCCAAGGACACTGAGCATCAGCGCAAACTCCTGGCGAGGTACCCGGACTGCCATGCTACGGTACTGGTCTGTTGGAATCGCAGAGATCCAGACTCTGCTGTTCTTACACCAGACCTCCAAGGCATGTCTCTCAAACTTACTGCTTGGGATCCCAAAATGAGAATCAATATATTGGTGGGGTGTACTCATAGGGTGACCTCAATTTATTTTTTTTGGATCTGCTTACAGCCTGAAGATCTGAAAAACTGCTCAGTCAAATCCCCTTACACCGATTTGGTGAAGTCAAAAGAACGATCGTCAACACGCTGTGCCTCCACTTCTTTGTGGGTTGTTGGCCTGGCATACCAGAGCGGAAAGAAATATACGGACGAGGCTTGCAACAAGACACCCTTCAGCAAGATCTTTAGCTACAGCGAAGCCTGTGACATCTCCGCGCTCTAAGGCTTTTTCTGACAACTGTGGGGGTTCGCCGTGGTTTCCCCTTTCCTCCTTCTCACCTCTTCTCACACAGGCAACATGCAGCGTACTCCAGCCATGGAAATCTGACGTTCAGCAATCCGAAACTCCGAACCAAGATCTTGAAAAGATATGGAGCCTCAACCCTGAAGCCCAAACCTCCAGAGCCTTCGAGTCAGCTGGGGCCCAAGCCCAAACCCTCGCGGAGGAGCGAGGGTGAACATGAGACCTCGGCATGGCCGGACTATTCATTTGAGCCAAAGCAGATCTGGGAGTTTCTCAAAGACAAGCGGGTGTTTTTGTATCAAGGGGTACTGACTCAAAGGATATGTACGGCTCCACCAGCGGCCGCCATCAAATAGTGTGCAGGGATCAGGTCAAAAACGCTGACAGGTAAGGGGCCGTGCAAAATTGCCCGCGGGCGAGCACATGGCAAATGCCTAGACAAGAGCAAAGCTCTACTTTCATAACTTCAAGGAGCGGCTTCAAAAATCTCGCTTGCTCACAGGGCATGCCCAAAATGTGGGACTCCACCGCTAAGTCCCCATCCTTTTGAGACCTACCAGATCAGCGCAAGGATCTGGACATGGTTATCAGGCACCACGCGTTCAAGTTTTCAACTGATTACCATCCCATGTATAATTTGTCGATGCTACAAACACCATATCAATGCTTTTTCTGCTACATGTTTCTGTGCTATGACTTTTCAGTGTTGTTACACTATTACACAAGCCTGCCTGGTCCAAAGCCCTGTGTGCCTGAACTCTGCTAGCCGAGCGCCGAACAGTCTGCTGCAGAAAACGCTCCTCGGCGCTTACGACTACATGGTGCTTCGTGGTTGAATAGAAGCTTCGCCAACGAACGAGAGCCTCCAACATGATCCTTGTTTTGCCCTCGCCCATGCAGCAGCCACTGCATACAGGTATTTTTTCATAGGGGTTTCAGTGTGTGAAGCTTTCGGGTTCGGGCGTTATGCGGTGAAAGGTTGGTGCCCGTATACATTCCTGCTTAGTATAGGGCCCCCTCGGTAATCTTGAGAAACTCCTACGGCAATCACGAAAGGCCGCTACACATGGATCTACTGCACAACACGCCATTGAGGCCCCAGGCGTGGAGCGGCCAGCTTGCATGAGGATCGGGCCAGGCACCCGTCTTTTCAGCCAAGAGCTGCAGCAGTTGACATGACACAGCTTTTTCTGACAGCAGCAGCTGCTGCGACGGACGCCGCTTGCTCGTGGTGGTAGTGGTTTTGGTGGTTGCGGTGGCTTGGCGGCAGCAGTGACAATGGCGCTGGCGGCAAGACATGCTAAACGCAATGACAAATTGTAATTCGCAGGCGCCGTAGTTGGAGTTTGGCCGCTCATGCCGTGTTGTCTATTGCTGATAACAAAATGCAAAGTGTGGGCTGTAGGGCAGTCGGATTTTATCTTAGAGGCCCTGCAGTACGTGTCGCAACAAGTTGCCACAAGCTTCCGTTGTCAACTTTGCAGAACCTGACACACTCAAGGCTAAAGCTCATTGCATGCTTGTTGTTTGGGGTTTCTTACGAGCACGAGCATCGTTGTTTTGGTGAGTACGCAGGGGCCTGATGTTTGGCATGCAGCCATCACAAACTTTTGTTAAGTGTCCGGAAACTTGTACTGTAAGTGTAGACAAGCATGATAAGGTTCATTTTGAGGACTTAGGCTTCTTTGGGAGACGTCTCACCTCCCTGGCGTGGGTCCCTCCCGCTTCCTGCCCTCCTGCTCCGCCATCCTCCCCCTCCCGCCTGTGCCTGCCCCCGAACCATGAGCCTGTGAAGAAGCTACAGGTATGTTGAAGGCAGATGCTGAGCGCAAGACTGTAAAACTGACTTTTTGCCGGAACGAAGGCAGTACAGGCTAAGCACATGAAGCCTCGGAACGTCATCTGAAGTTTCTCAGACAAGGGGGCCAAGGGAAGCTAGTAGATAGGGGCAGCAAAGAGCTATGAGGGTCCGTTTCAACAGCATGAGAAACATCAGCTCAGAGCTCAGGAAACAGGACAGCCTGGCAAGCTGACAATGCCCGGTCTTGTCAAGCTGGGCTTTGAGGTTGAGAGTGGGGCTGGTTGCCTCAGCGAGAATCACACATACGTCTGCATCAGCAGCTGGTGCCACTCCTGTTTGCAGAGGTTCAAACAAAGAGCAGAAGCATGCATGCAGCAGAGCGGCAAAATGTGGGGCAACATTATGCTATTTCACAAACATATCAGGCCGCATGCATCCCTCCAGGGTTATGGAGATCATGTACAGTGATTGTGCGCGCTCTTTGGCGCACGCATTCCCGGCGATGCAAAGCACCACCATGCAACGACACCTTGGCTACCTCTGCAGGGCAATGCTTCCCAGATCGCCTTGATGGTTGGTGGTGGAACTCATGTGCCACCCCAAGTTTCTGCCCCGAGATTGCACCACTTGGTGATAGGCATCGTGCTGCACTTCGCAGCTGCATGTGCCGAGACGAGGAGGTTCGTCAGAGCAGCAACATCGGACCATGCAGGAAGTCACAGCCAGCAGGGGGCAAACTGATGGAAGCCCGTGTTGTTGCTGGAGGCCTTTACGACTTCTTCCAAGCCTGCAAGGTAAGACCAGAACGCTTCAGGACAATCGGCTAAAATTCACTGTGATCTCTGCACATGCTCCGAGGAGATGAGCTCCTAAATCTTCCTGCCATACAGAAAGAAAAATGTCGAGTTTGGGTGTGGGATGCCGCATTTCAAACTGCAGGCATTCCTGTCCAATGCAAGCCCTTGCAAATTAGGTGTAGACGAGCTGCCGCCATGTGTCGCACAGCACAAGCACTTAGCAATTTCGGAGAATGGGACGTCCACTGTTGGGCGTCGTTCTATACGCGAGCTATGCAATCTGTTTGGCAAGCAAATGACCTGTTGTGTGTCGTGTTGAGTCCTTTATCTGGCACGTCTGACATTATGGAAAGGGCAAACACAAAGTACTAAACACCAAATCCTGGATCTAGACTATCCTTCAGCCTTGGAGAGTGTCTAGCTTTTACACTTCCTGCTTACTAGCACTATCGAGTACTCAATTGCCGCCTTCTGCCAGCTGATAGTCGTTGGGAATCATTGACACTACCTTTCTTACGACTGCAATTCCGATCACTATCATGGCCGTCGAAGAGCATCACGACTAAACCCTTCAAGGTTTCGGCATCATGGCCGATGGCAAGCACATGTTGGACACCAACTACGACATGCATTGTTATCCTCATGTTTTATAACCGCAACATGTTAAACCCCTCATAAGAAACCTCGGCAAATATTCCACATTCAAAGGGAGAAGAGGTCAGGTCAAAAAGAAGGGGGTGGTTGTTGCTGGACTACCCCTCGGCTGCATATGCATTCACAGTCGCTCCTCACCCAAACTCTTATGCAGAGTAAACTTCATCAAAGGCTCGCATGAGCCCAATTCGACATTTCTACGAGTGGGATACGCTTGTCTATTTCATTCGAAAGCTTCCTGTCAGCAAGGATTAATCGAAACAGTCACAAACTTTGAAAGGGGCTCACATGAGCCTCAGGTCTTCAAAAGGCCCATGGACGCAAGCTTCATGAAAAGACGCGATTTCAAGCCATCGTCCAAGGAGCTGAAGCGGTCTGACTTGACGATAGCCTGCAGTCAATATTTCCATGTTCATGACTCATGCCTTGATGACATCGGATTTGGAAGTCTGCATGATTCTGCAACTTGGTTTAAGGGCAGCCTGGACTTACAGTGGACATTGCTGCTGAAATTGGCAAACAAAGTGGAGACCGTAGCAGCAACCTGCAAACATCCATCACGCGGACGGGAATTAGCTTCTCTGTTCATGCACGCTGCACCTGTAGATATTCTGTCGCCTCTTAGGAGGCCACGATCACGCACTGGTTCTGAGATTTTCTGAGGAGATTTGGGGCTCGCCGCGTGCTATCGCCACTGCCGTGCGCATGTTGGCCGGGCCGTGTGCTTTTCGTGCGATGGTCACTTTAGGGCTTGTTGCTCGCGTGGTTTCCGGTCATTGGTTTTCAACCCTGCGCCATTGCTTTCAGCGACTCTTGCCCGAAACGTCCTTGCACAATCGCGCTGTTTTCCACCGATCTCAAGACACCCACTATTATTAATGCATGGTGTGATGGTGGTCACGTTCTGCTCGGAGTCATTCCGTTGCCACACTTTTTACGTAGGCCTGCGGTCGCCACTTATTTAGCCGTCGCTGCCTTTGCATTCTCACTGCTCGTGAAGTCTGTTTTTGAGCCTCTTCATGTTTTCTTTTCTGGTGGAACAATACTTGGGCATATGCTGCTGGGTGCACTTCCGCAATCTCGGTAATAGTGGAGTCCCCCCCGGCTGCTTGCTTTGCCACTCTTGCTGCTGCTGTTGCTACTGCTGCTGCTCTCTTGCCTCTGCTGCGATTGCTAACAAGACTACATAACAATATCAAGTACTTGCAACCTTGAGCCCCGCAGCCCAAGCCAAAAACAATTCAAACATGACCTAGCCGCACTAGCTCCTAACTTCTTGTACTTGCCACGTTTTCGTAGGGCTGTGGCAGTCGCATTGCCAGCCGCAAAATTCATGACGATGTCCTGGATGTAGAGCGCCTTGAATCCGCAAAGCTCAACCCTTCATCCTCAACATCTATGCAGAAAGGCTACCCTCCGTACATCTGTATCTATACATACACACCTTACTACCAAGAGGCGGGCCCCTATGACCACCCATGGTGGACTGAAAGCTAATCAGTGGCTAAAGCGAACTTCCAGTGGCCTGTGGGTCATTCAAATCGCACGCATCCACAACCTGCATGATGTCGCATGCATTGTCCACACCTGGGCAAGTATCTTCGTGAAATCAAGGGTGCTTGCACATGGTCTTGAGTTACGCCGTAAAGGGCTTGCAGATGCAGCTCCTTTGCCTTTGGCAGCAAGCAATTCCTGGAAGATGCTCTTGGGGGTTTGGAGCTGGGACTCGTCGCAGAATAAAGCTTTCTTCTCGACTTTGATCAAGATGGGTTTAGTGTGCGGGCATGGGCTGAAGAACGAGAGTGCTCTTGCAATGAGGAGGCCAGGACCATATATCTGCAGGTACTTGGTAGCAAATTCACAATCCGCATAGCAGCAAAGCAGCAATCGTCATCTCGCAAACACTGTCAACGAGAATGTTCAAAAACAACTTTGCAGACATCGCAAGCAGTAGCACTGATAAAGA